AAGTCTGGAACTTCTGACAGCAGCTCAAATCAAGGCAGAATCAAAGGGGCACCTCTGTCCAAAGTGTTTGCCTTTATTTCTTCCAATTATTGTTTTCAATTTTTTTTTAATTTTTTGCTCCTCCAAAGAGGGGGCAGTCCACCCCAGAAGTGATAATGATACTAATGCTTTTCCTTAATGCTGCTATAATTGATAATCAAATACCTCCATTGTAAGCTCCAACTGTGTTAACCATAAGTCCATTACCCATGATACCTCCGCAGGCACCATCTAGGCCATTCTCAGTGGCAGCATTCACACCAGATGCTGTAGAGCTTGCCATGTTCCAGTAAAGATCTGTTGGAGACACTGTGTTGGTACCAGCAGGAATGGCAGCTTGGGTACCAGTGTAGCGGAAATAGGGGTTCTTGAGGTCCAGTGAGTTTGTTGATCTGATGCTTGTTCCATCTACAGAGACTTCTATTTCAACGTCATAACTCTGTCTGTGAAATTATGTACATTACTGTCAGTGCGAAACAAGGACAACGATTCATTTTGTTTGCCATCATCATCCTGATTCCTCCTTTTCAAGTGCCAAGGAATAATGCTACTTCCCTTAGATAGCTTATCCAGACAATTACAAGTTCCAACACATCCCACCCACTCCCTTTTCCTTCCCTTGGCATTTATTTTGCATTAATTGTTTTAATTTTTTTTTTTTACAGTAATTCNCGCAATATGTAGATCTCCTGTGGTTGGGAACATTTTCCCTTTAACAAAAGACATAGATGTAACGCATTAGACAATGCTCCAAGTCAAAACTAGACAACACTAAAGCAAAGGTTTGAGAACAGAATAAATATCTTATAATGCATACCATCAGGTTTCAGCCATTTTTTAGCATGAAGGTAACTCTCTAACATTCTCTCATTATAAAGCATATAACCCATCGGCTCGGAAATTATTACATCTACCATTTCAGGGATCTCTACCTGCAATGAAATAAGGTAAAAATGTGTTAGATAAGAACGGCTAAAAATCCACCATCTCATTATTTTGTATCATTGTGTTAGACAGTTTCGATGTCTGACATGAAATACAAAATTATCCTATCTTATGTGCAAAGAAATGTAAGAAAATTTGTTAGGAGAATAAAGACTTTGAACCCACTCCATACCTCTTCAACTTTTCCAGGAATCACAATCACTTTGTCTGAAAGGTTATTGAGTTTAACTAGAGCCTGGATAAAGATATTGAAACATGTATGTTACATTCAGGTAACACAGTAAATAAAAGCACTGTAATACTAATATGGAAGCATTATGATGCAGGTCAAGTAACAGCTGCAGTAGGTCTGTAACATGAGAATAAATGTATGTCTGCCATGCAGTTGTGTGCATCAATTTATTAATTCAAACTTAATATTGCTTTAATCTAATTCAAAGACTGCTTCAAAATGGATAGGTCACACACCAGCAGGAGACCGCTAAGGCATAAATGAAATGACACAGAGAGTTGTAAAAATTGCATTTCACTGCACATTCTAACTCATATTCTCATTCTACACTTCAGATTAAATCTATAAACCATCTTCAGTCTGTACATCTTTTAAACAGTCTTTTTATCCAGCTGTTTCTGTTAACTTAATTAGCCTGCATAGTAACATTCCATCCATGGATTTCATCAATATTTGGCTCTCACCCCAATTTTTAAGTGGTCAGAAAACAGAAAAAGCTCTTTGTTCATAATTTTATGGGTACACTTGCTATGCAGGCTACTGTTAACTCAAACCTGATACACAAATCTAATAAGTTATTTACCAGCAGACTCATAACTCTGCATAAAATATGCAGAGCTATATAATATTATATATTTTTTAAACATTTATTTATTTTCTTGATCTTACCTCTGCATGAGTTGCCATAGAACTGGCTTCTATAGCATACACTTTTCTAGCTCCAGCTTGTACAGCAAAGAATGATAAGATCCCTATACCATAAAACAAAGTATAATCAACAAACAGATTTTAATTAAATTCTAATATTTATTAAAAGCAGTCTGACCAGAGCATGTGAGGCATTGAATTAGCCCTATGTAAGCCCTGTATCAATATAATTATAAGCTTTAAGTACATGTACAGGTCCTACATTAATAAATTACTTTATGTCACTAACAAGCTACAAGCATGAATGGCACTCAAAGCAAACTGCATGTTCTTACGTTACACAGCCAGCAAGCGAAACACATAAGCGCTGCAAAACCCGTGAGAAACCCCACAGAGCATGGTCGCCATGGAAGGCTGCTGACCAGCACTGGCTCGAGTCACCTAAATTTCATTTAGCCATGTTAAATTCAGTTGCTATATATATAAAAGCAGGCTTTGAAGCCTGTTATGAAATAATTAAATAATAATTTGAAGGAATTTAACAAACAATCATGACAGACAACAGTAATGCTACTCTAAAAAACATGATTGGTTCAATCACAAACAAACTCAGATTTTTTTCTTTCAAACTTGCATTGTGATAATTTAGCTAATAGTTCACAAGTGAAAACTCTTATGTCACCACAGACAGTTAAAGTAGCTTATACATGCATGTACAGGATATCTTCCAAAAACATCTGGAAAACACTAACAGTTGCAGTACATGACATACCTGATCCAGCCCCGACATCAATCACTACCTACAGATAAAGAAGAGCATGAAAATATTCAACAACGAAGTTCAAAAAGAAACTAGTAGATACTGAGAGTAAGAAGAATGCTGATACAAGAGCACTTGGTAGTATAATGTTGCTTGTAACCTCATAATAGCACATTGTCTTCCACTTGACATGTCGTCACCAAAATGTTTGTGACCCTGACGAATACTTCCACAAGAAAATAAACTTATATTCGACATGGCAATCAAAGTAGACAATGCAGAGATCCAGAAACCCAGACATCTATGCATTTCAATGGGGCATGATTAGTAATGGTTTCTTAAGTTGTAACCCTGGCAGTAAATAACATGGGAAATACATTTCTGTGTTCTACATGTAACTCTAGGTAAATTAATTTTAAGCAAATTGTGGTTTTGGAAAAACTAATATTGTTAAGATTATCTTCCACTGTTTATATTTCACTGATTAGTTTTATGTACCTTGTCCTGAAAATCTGAGTGGTTCTGTAGCATGGCTCTTTGATATGTCGAAGTTCGGACATAATCCTGAGTGTTGGAGAAAGGACAAAAAATTAAAACTAATAACTAAAGAACTTAGAGTAAAATATACCAATATTGATTTTTACCCTCCGTTGGATTTCTCACACGCAGAAAGCTGGCTTCCAACATAAAAATGATTGATAAAATTAATGGTTACTTTTACCTGCATCATGTTTTGCTGCTGGGATAAATATCCATAAAACTGCCAAAAAGATAAGAAATTTTATAGTTTACTAAACTAGAAAGTTACACTTCTTTTGATAAAGGAAGTACATTGTGCGGGTCCAGAAAATATCCCTA